GTTTTAACAGACTTTTGAGAAATTATTATTCTTTGTAGTTCAGACAGATAAACAAAAATATTGTGCAGTTAAACAAATGAAGTAACAGCAGAACATGGCTGTAACATATAGATACCTGGTAAGAAAGCAGTCGAAACAAACAAAACAGATATATTAATATTGCACAGCAGGTGCGCATGCTGACGTCAAGATCTCTGCGGGTTCAGAGGAACGACAGTAAAGTTCGTGTATAGATCCTAATATGATAATATGTGCCCCGTAGTTAAAATCCTCAACGGCCTATTAGCAGCTTATTGCTGTTGGCCATTACCGATATATTTTATTTCATAGCAAGTGCTTCAGGTATTGCATGTTCTACCAAATGCAGTATTTGATAGCTGCGACAAAAACCAACACGTTTGGCAGCCAGCTGTAGCGATTCTCTAAAGTGTGTAGTCATGTGCAAAGAACCAACCAGTCACACGTAAAGCATGTAAAAGTGAGTTATCTGCCAGCTTCTTAGAAACGTGAGAAAACTAGAATTCTTTGAGCACTGGTGTTTACGAATCATCTGGCGGACGTGATTTATCGACCATTCACCTAACAATGATATTTATGACCGCTGCCACATCATCCAGCTCTCTACTATCCTGAAAGAATGGAAAGAACTGCGTTGGCTTAAGTGTCGACCAGACCATATCACTTCCATCACACTGAACGCCACACCGATTCCTGAATGGTGCTGGAAACGAGGCGGACAAGTTGATATTTGATGCGAAAAACGAGAGCTGACATTGAAGCAATCTGAGCCGACAGTATATCAGTACTGAAAAACTGACTGAACTTGGTGGTAAATAGCCCTGGTGTGACCGACAAGTAAATTATGGCTATCCGGGAAATCATAGTAGCGAGTAAAACCAGTGATGATAGCCTCCATGCCAAAATCAACAGCAGCTTTTGTTGGTAAATACAGATCTCGTAGTCTTAGTGTGTCCAAGTTTATTTAAATCCGGCTTATGCAAATGGTGAAGTTTTTTCGTTTCCATGTATCATTCTAATTCTTTTTTATCTGTTCTCTAAAACTATGGGTTGTAATTGTCTGTTCAGCCTGTAAGCTGTGCGATTTAAGGTCATTGTTACGTTGTATTTCAAAATTAATGCAATTTCGGCTACAGAAACGATACTGTTTTTCAGTGTAGGTCCCCTATGTCTATATGTACGATAATAAACTTGATTGAATGTTTGTCATAATGATGCCAAATCCTTAAGGCATAGTACCTAATGAATTAAATTCATTTCGGTTGATAACGATTCCTAAGATGGTATGGGCATTTCACAGAACAGTTCTATCGACTGGGGCATCACGATTTAACCGCATTTCTTAAAAAATCTAGACCACGTTTGCTGTGGCCATGCAGCCAAAGACTCCTGTATGTTGTTGTTTTACATGCTAATTTCTGGGTCATTGCTACTTTTACAAATTGTATGCTTACTGTAGATGAAGGCGGGGAAAGCGGGCGGGGGGGGTGGGTGAGGAGAAGAACAGCAAAAGAAGCGCGGGTAAAGAATATGATTTAGAAGATAACGAAGAGGAAGAGAAAGTGGTACATTATGAAGAAAAATGAAACAATGATGAATAGGTGACGAACTGATGAGAACACAGTGGTTTCATGACAAAATCAATGAATGGAAGATATTGGCTAAATATTCTGTTCATTCTGTCAACTGCTGCCTGCCACGTTAAACCAGTTTTGAACTTGTTTTATAGTTACTAAAAGCTAGTAGTTATCTGCCACCATTTCGAACTGTAGATTTTATCCGTAAAACGAAATTTTAGTTTCATTTTATAGATTTGTTTTTATTGTCAGTGTCTTTGTTTTAGCAGATTAACTTTTTTTCCAGAGGATTTCCCAATGCACTTTTGATCAGTATTCGCCTGAAAAGTTAACCAGCCCAGCCACTCTGACCGAAAGAAGTTCAAAGACAAAGCTCAGTTCCATTACAGTCGTTCGAAACAGCGGTGCGGATGTGTTCTGCCATTATTGGAAAATGGGTTCAATAAACTTGTGAATGGTTTTGGTGCTGACGGAAATCCAAGCATGAAATTTTAGAAGAGGAAGATGAAGGGTGGTTAAAGAAATCGTCTTCTCACAAAATCTGGCGTGTCAGTGCAATAAACTTAACATAAATTTGACAAGGTGTTCTAAAAATATCTTAGTGCTTTTACCACTATAAGACGCCATGTGTTCCCTTTTTGTCACGTGCAAGAAATATACGGAATGCTTATATGATTAATGCTTACACGGTTAATTTTCAGCAAGTGTCAAATTGTGTAGTAACGATGAGGAATAGGAAAGTAACGTCCTTTATGTTGAGCGGCTCTTTTGGATCATTTACTTGCCAGCGATCGATCTTCATAACGATAAGTATTGCTGCTAATCCATCTTCGGTTCTCTTCACTGATTGTGTATCTCTAAGGTATTTGTCCCTGATATATATATATATAACAACTGTTTGACAACTGCAGAATACTTATCTCAGAGCACTTCAGCTTCCATTG